GCTCGGTTTAGGGGCATTTTAGTTCTCGCTAATCCTTTTTGCTAAATTGTGTTAACTAGCAGGTTTAATTTTGTTGAGTCCTGTGAACATTGATAGGGCTGCGTTCATACTTTGCGGCAGCGTCACCTGCGTCTACCAGCGTCCACTAGCGTTCTGAGCGTCCGGCAGCGTCAGCGACTAGAGAAGCATAGGTATCGATCCAGCGTCTGCCAGCGTCTACCAGCGTCCACCAGTGCTTCACCAGCGACCGGGAGTAGAGATTATGCGGGAGTAGGAGGGTAGCAAACAGCTGAAGTTGCGGCGTATGCAACCGTACCGCACAACTCCTAAAACACAGGATTGCGCATTTGGATGTACGGCGTAGTGTAGTTGTACGGTGCGGTTGCACACGCCGCAATTTCACGACGCCTAATCCAGCTGTTTGCTACCCTCCTACTTCCCCATACTCTCTACTCCCGGTCGCTGGTGGACGCTGGTAGACGCTGGCAGACGCTAGATCGACACCTACACTTCCCCAGTCCTCAAGACGCTGGCAGACGCTAGTAGACGCTGGCAGGCGTTGGCAGACGCTAAATCGATATCTATACTTCCCTAGTCGCAGGCGTACGCTCGGAACGCTGGTGGTCGCTGGTAGACGCTGAAGGTATGAATGCAGCCCAAGACTGCAACTGGTACAAGTGAGCTACTTCGGTTGGAAAATTCACAGGTCTTCACAAGGCGGCCTGTGAAGGCTTAGCTGAGTAGCAGTTGTTGTCCTCACGAAGCCGAACTGTGTTGAGGAATGAAAAAATGGAATGGTGCTTACCGTAGCAAAGTGAATAGGGAACCGAGGCCGACGCAGATCTGCAGCTCGAGCAGTTTATCGCCGGTCTCATTTGCCACATTCATCGCTTGCTCGAACGCTTCCAAACAGTTCTGGAACTGGCTGAAGCCAAGATGTGCACAGGCGATGGCTGAAATGGTTACGTTTCAAGCTTACGTGGAGAAAGTAGGAAACACTCAGTGAGGCTCACCTAAGTGTGCATATCCTGGAGTGCGAGGATCCATGCTAGGATGTTGTAAACTGGCTTTGCCGTAATTCAACGCCTAAAGGGTATATTATTGGAATATGGAGATTCAAACTTTCCCTGACGTGTCACACACTCAAAATCCACTCAAATGACTGAGGTTTTCAATATTCCTTACGCAATATTCCTTAGCCTGGCAAAGTAGTTCATATTCCGTGATCCCAGCAGGGTACGCCATCGTTGTGATCATCACAAGGGGGGGGGGTCGTATTTGACCGCGAGGGAGGGGGATCGTATTTGGTCAGAGAAAAAAAAATTTCTTTTCCTAGTTGGTTTCTCTTGTTTCACGGACGCTGTAAAGGTGGGCAGGGTCGTACTTGTCAGTTCACAGACCGAACGGTTCACTGGAAAAAATCTCCTAACTAGATCGTTCTTTGTAGTCTCTTCCCTGTAATTTTTCAGCACCCTATAATCAAGATGATACAATATTTTATCGAGGAAAAACACACTTGGAAGCTGCATTGAAAAACCCTAACCAGCATTCTTGGCTAAATGCGTGGAATATTCTTACTCGTATATGATCAAAGCCCAGTAAATGCGATGGATCATGACCGTAGGACGCTAATCATTGGAAGCGCCTTAAGCCGACATTACCAGGCACTGGAGGACACCTTATATGGCGTTGAAAGGAAAAAATGACGACTTCCAAGCCCCTCCCCTCTCCACCTCTGTGAGACAGGAGCTATGAATAACAGTATGCGTATGAAAACAATGGTGTAGCTGTTTGTTGCAGCTGCATTGCACGTTACGATTAGAGCGTATTATAACGGCCATGCCGCTGCAGTATTCACGATTTTCAAGTAGTGTCTTCAAAAGTGTCACGACAAACCCAGCAGAGCGCAGAGGACCCGGTAATCAGCCTAGGGGAATGCTCTTCTAGACTAGTTTGTTCCCTGGGAGTAGAACCTCATTAAGTTCCGCCTGTAGCATATCATCACAAACATCGCCTAATCCCTTGAATATTGCCAGAGCCACAGATGCGATGTCATGGATCGTGAGTGAACCCTTCGCGCGGCGTTTTCTACCACTGGTTGTTTCCAACCTAAAAGCGGCCGCCTTGGTTAAGCTAAAATAAACGTGACGCGCAGAAGGCTCATTTTCGCGCCCCTGACACAGATCTGCTTTGGATCGTACAATATAGCATGGTACGAACCTTCCTGAAGGTCAAACTACCATTCACCGTCCGGATTCTCAAGACCGACTTAATCCTATGAAGCACGGCCTCAACGTTATCTCAAAACCCAGTGAGCTGCACAATTGCTACAGCTCACTTCAGCTCCTGTCTTTCACCAGCCACAGTGGAAAATAAAAAGAAATAGATAAGTCAATAAAAAATGTGTAAAACATAATGAGAGAGGTCTATTCCGCGGTTAATATATTGGACTTCATTTTTCAACTTAACTTTCTAGTGAACCCGTTTCAAATTCAGGCAGGCTACAAGAACATCGAGATTGACTCACCTTGCTGAAGTCGGCTAACCGTTCATAGGCTTTGGCGAGATTGAGAAACGCTTCGCTCTTCATGTATTCATCATGGCGTTCGTTGGCCAGCTCCATTTGCTGTAAGGCATAGTGAAGCATCGCTTCGAATTCGCCACTATCACAATACGCTTGTGCGAGATAGCCAAGTGTGATGAAACGATCTTCTGCGTTTCTGAAAAGGTGGAAATTTTTTAAAGGTTTGTTGAGTACATAAGTCATAAAAGGAGCCGTCTTTAATAGAAATGCTCATGGTCTATTTTCTCATTTTCTCCAATTGAGATAAGTAATATTGAGATTTAGCGGTGGTCTCGACAAAACTGGCCGTACCATTCACAGGCTCAAAAGAAAAGGCGAATTAAGGCCGAAAAGTAAGCCAAACGTAAACCACCTGTCTGTAAGGTAAAAAGATTTGACTATTAGCGAGTTTCTTTATGGAAGCGCGAGCCATTCTGCGCTTAATCGCAGGATCGCAAGAGGGGCTTATTGAGTGCGTTGTGTGGCTATCACACCGACATCAAGTGTGCTATCTTCACAGATGACAGATCAATTTTACGTCGGTGGAGGTAAGGTGTGATTGGGACTGTGAGCCGGGGACGAGATCATGACACCGAAGCGGAAGCATGTAAAGATGTAAAAGAAAGTAAAAATGAAGGCAATACTTGAACTAGCTCTACATCAAAAAGATCTAAATGTCTCTTTTCACACCGCTGAACCTCCGCCTAATAGATGGTATCGATTCCTGATCACGAATAGGAAGCATTCGTTTGACGCTGGCACGCATGTTGGCACTATTATGCGCAATTTAGAGCAACACTTTTTCACCAAATCGATGAAAATTCTGATATGTGTGGGGTATAATTGAGGTCTGATCAAGGATAACGACAATGAAATAACTCTTTATCCAGTGATCGCATCAATACATTGATATGTGCCAAGCCTAACCTAAACCCTGCACCGCCCATCTAGCAGGTTTTCACGCGATTCATGACTTTCGTGAAGAAAAGGGTGGCGCCAGAATGCACACACATGCGTTCAAAACTGGCGCCGCGTCTCAACGAATATGATAATCGCGATCAGGGATCGAACTACATCATGTTCAGCGAAAAAATTTTTCTGAAGTCTTGGTAGGAAATGGTTCAATAGTGCGAAAATGAGTTAAGAATATGATAGATAGATAAAGATGGTTGGTTTATGCCTAAAGAAGCCAATTAAAGAACACAAACATCTCGCATACAATACTTTTCTGTAGTATGCAAGCCTAAAAGGTGTTCAGATGAGAAGCTGTTGATATGGTGTCAGGGTATTGGAAAAGGAAGTTTTATAAGAATATTGACACCTCCACTTTACCCATCTTCATGCTGTACCCTGTCTCCAACCCTGTCTCGTGGACTGCTTCGCGGCTGCGAAGTGGGTCAATACCCTGCGCCTGAGGTGGAGAGCACCTTACATCAATTTCCTCGCGCATTCCATGCATTTTTACGTGCCGAGAGCGGCAGTTCGGCTGGGATTCTTAATAACCTCCCTCAACTGCAACGATCCCCCCCCTCATGATACCAGCCGTATTTTCCTCAACTTCCTACTCTTTTGACCACCATTCTGGAAAATTTTCTCGTTTTCCCACAGAAAACCGCCGGTAAGGACGGGGTCATCAATCAGCTGGGACGAAGGACCAGGGTACAGTATCGGGATCGGAAATAGTAACCTACAGGAGTTTGACGAACCTGCCAACCAAGAGAATTCATAGCACATATGCAATGGGGAAAATGTGGCAATTCAAGAACCGAAAATAGTACCTCTCGCTGCGGAAAGTTTCTGCCAGGACCACGTACGACACCATCGACCAAATACGACCCCTCCCCAACGACCACGTATGAAACCGCTGATTTGATTCTCCCAAAGAGCTGTACATCGCGGGGCCTTGCTTCACGTTATTTATTACGATGTTTACGGGACTAAAACAACGCGAATGTTGCCGGGACGCTAGACCACCGAGGCTGCGTCTCAGGACACCTTTCCCCGCGACGGGTTTTGAAATCGATTGAGGGCCCGTTTTTCACCGTGAACTGCTTTCGCACGTGAGCTGTGGGCTCAGCAACATTCTCAGGCTAGCAATAGCTGTTGTTCTAGTGATACCACATCTTATTGTTAGGAAGAAAATAATTTAGCAATCCTATTCGAAAAATCAAAGAAACTGACGTCAGCCGATTTAGGGCATGCCTCCATTTGTGAATCGCCTGCGCATGGTGTCGTTGGTGATAAAGTCGTACGCCCGCCTGAAATTGTAATATTATTTATTTCAAAAATTTCATATCATTGAAAATTTTGATAATTGAAGACCCTCCCTCAGTGAATTCCCGGAATCTCGCCAACCAGATCTATGCCCCAGTTGCTTCCAAAATGTCCTCTAAATCAACTGAGAGCTAACGAAGTGCTCCGTGGGGTAATCAAATGAGTTCAGCACAAGAAAAAAAAGTAAATGAGACGATGTGGATGCCTCGGAAAGCTCTGGTTTTCCAAGAAAACATCTCGTCAACAAGTAATCACTATGAGAAATCGATAATCTTTTATGAAATTATATCGTAGGCGGGGACGGGGAGCGCACTAACGATGACATCTGCTGTCAGTGAGCCATTTATAATGTGGAAGTGGCTGTGGTGCACTTGACAATATCACTGAAAAAAGTCAATGGAGGCGATAGGGTCAATAATGCACCCAAGGAATTCGATGGGAACTCGTCTACGCTTGCAAAACAGGGCGCCTGCACGGGCTTGCAGGACATGCTGCATTCCACGGTAGCAAGAGCACAGAGGGCGCAAAATTTCAATTTTGAGTCGTGTAGAGTTCAACGTGGTTTCAAGATTATTTAGCGGTGTTGAGGCAGTATCAACAGACCAGTATCTTTCCATGGCTTTACTGGATTTCACGAATCTTTACTTGGTAACTCGACACGACACTGGCAAGAGGCGAAAGTGGAAAATGCCCCTCTGTAGCCGAGCTGCGTCCAGCCCTTCTGCCTCGTCTTATCGTTGGAACAGCTATCGGGACGCAGTTTGCCTTGCTGGGGCCGTTTTGGAGGCTCCCACCGATCATTGCCGATACCTCCCTTCCTACATAGCCTGTGATAAGAAGTGTAACACGCCTGGAGCGGATAAATTAACATTCAAAAAAAGCTTCTACGAGTCTCTCTCTGCTAAATATCCATTAACGATAATATGCTTTTAATCATAAGGATGGAGCTCCGGCTGGAACTGATGTGAAGGCGACGCAAATTTGTGTCCACCACGGCGTCCCAGCTCAAAGCTAACAAGGATTCCCAAGAAAAAAGTATCATCGTAGCACAAAACTAAGTAAATTTGAAAAGAAGTACAGCTTGATCCCATAAGATCAATGAGTCAATGAGAATTTGCTGTTTCTCGGCGCGAAATAAATTGGTAACCATGGGGAAAAAGTCTGATGGACTAATAAATGACGAAAAACGAACTCTTTACAGCAGGCGGTGTTGCACGACTCGACATATGTACATGCACGCAAAACAATGAGCAGTAGCCCAATGTCTTAAGCGGTAATCTCTTGTTCTCACCTGATGTTGGGACCTGTCAGTGGAGCTGAGGTTTTAGCGCGCTGCCAATCGGTTACCCACCATTTGTCGGAGCTGGTAAGTAAGCAGCTACAGCTGGTGGAAAGCGACCGAT